AGGCTCACTTCGTGAGGTACTAAACGAAGCTCTCACACGGGGAGCTTTCGTGATTAGGACTTTGGGATGAGCCCCAGGAGCTGGAAGACTTGGCCTCCACAGAAGATGGCACACAACGGGCTGGCGGATTGGGGTTCTTCGCAGCATTGAAGAACATGGAGAGCCTGACATGCTAGATGACAGTCCAATTTTGTCTGAGACTGCGAATGCCTCTGGATATGCCATATTTAGCCCAGTGGCTGCTGATGCGCAAGGCTATGGCCCAGCCTCGGATGAAGTTCTGAAGCTTCATGACAATTGTTTGTTGGTCAAGTGAACAAAAGAACTTGCCAAGCGTTCTGCGCTGCCGACTTCTGTGCCCAAGTCAGGGCTTCCTGGTAATCCACCTGCACCCGCGGATGCATGAAAGCTTGCAATAATTCAACCAGCTGCAGCTGAAAAATTGACCTTGACGCCACCACTCCCGCGCAGCAGGGCCAAGCCATAGTTCAGCATACCCTGACAAGCTTTCTGAAAATCATGGAGGCCTCGGCCTTGCGCGCGGTTGGGTACCTCTGGAGCTCCGCGCTTTGCCGCATGGCGGAACAATCGCACAGCCTTCGCTTCATCCTTCACTACCCCCATGCCTCAGGCGGCACAGGTGAACAGGCTTTTAATGAAGTTTCAAAACAGCACTTGGCGCAAAACCGTTCACCAGGAGGTGACCAAGGTTGCTGAGAGCCTTTGGCACCCATAGGTGCATGGGTGGAAAACAACAACTTCTGAGCACCTGCGCATCTCCTTGATGAGCAGCCCATTTGGTGTAGAGAAGTGATTGCTGCAAATCCTGCAAAGCAAAGCGGTGCCAAGCTACGCGAAGCTGTTGCCATGCTGTTGCCGCTTTTGCAGCTCCCCTGCATGCTTGGCTGGTCAGATTGACTTGTCAGTTGAGCAGTGCCAGCTTTGCGTGAATATTAAAGACCACCGCGTTTCCGAACATGGATTTTGGACAGCATGGCGCGTGGCCACAGCAGCACTGCATGCGTCGCTCTTCGGGTCCTTGGGGAATTTGTGCTGGCCTTCCCTGTACATCTCTGCCACCTAGCAATCGCGTGATTTGATGATGTGGCACCTAGCTCCCATTATATGAGGGAGCTTCTCGCACAGTTTCTTGTCGCTACCTTGCAATCTATCCTGGTTTCTATTCAAGGTACAGCTGTCCCTCCTTGAGCACCAGTATTCATGGAGAGATTCAGGGACTTTGAACTTTGGCTGAAGAAACTGCTCAGCAATGCAAAATGATTCAGAACACCCAGTGTACCTGGAAGCACGCTCGCGGGTGGCCTTTCATGGATGATGCGAGTAGCTTGGTGGCCTCACATGCACAGAGGATCAGACAGACCATACATACCCCACAAGATCAAGGTTTGAGGGTCCAGGCGCCATCCCTGTCACCTTCTTGCAGCAGCGCTTGGCCCAAGGCGAACCTTTTGCTATATGAAATAGCTTTGCACCACATGAGATTCATTCTGGATGCCCCTACCCTGCATCTGGTTCATCCTGCTCGAAAGCAAGGCGGAGCATACGTTTGCCCTCAAACACGTCCTGCCAGGAAGGCTACAGGCAATTTACAAACAGGCACAACAGATCTCCTGTTGGACTCGGCCGGGTACTCCCTGCAAAAGGAGGCTTCCATACCGGCTCTGCGACCTTTGTACAACACTGCTCTGCTTTGGTAGAGGTAGATTGACCAGCCAAGTCCAACACCGGCTGTGGCCAAGTTCTGAAGCGCGTTTCCAGAAGGACAGTGCTGTGCTGGAAGACTCCTTGCTGTCTCACTCGATTTTTCTTCCAGCCTTGTTTGAGGTTGCGATTGAACGTGCCTTCAGCCCTGAACCGGGAGGCGGCTCCCAGCACCATTCCGCAGCAGTGCAAAGCGCGTCTGGATACCCGAGTTCGCAGGCCTCACACGCTCAGGCACTTCGACACTTTTTCGAGCTATTGGCCCTCGCCTGCTCTAAGAAGACTTTCGCACCTTTGAAGTCTTTGGAAGAAGCCAGAGACAGAGCCAAACCGTAAAGCGAGAAAGGATCATCGCTCTCGGCTTGGGTCCTACCAGCATGCAGCGGGAAGCTTGCAGCGAGCTTGCAGCAAGCAGTGGTTATGTGAGTTTGAATGTTCCAATATTATGTCTGCACATGCCTCGAATATCTGGCCAAGACCAGATTTTGCATTTAATCCTTTTGCACTGCTAGCACTTCGAGAAAACAAGGATGCAAAGGCCATCTTGACTACCGACAGATGCAGCAGCTCCTGTACCAGGGACAGGTGCGAGGTAGCACCGCTGCTTCAGAGTCTTTGAAATGCAAAACCAATTCGTAGCGAAATCCGTCTTGAACGTCCGTTCCATGAAAAAGGTCGTACTGAAAGATGCATAGGTCGCCTCGATCCAGTTGAACGAATCTCCGATCCAAGAAAGCATTGCCGGAGCTTTGAACAAACATGCCCCCAGTACAGGTCGAAGGCTCCTGCAGAGAAATAACAACGACCGCGAAGGCCGCATATTCGTAATGCGGAGCAACGAAGCGGCGTTCCTCTGGCACAAAGCGCCTAAAAAGTGCGTGAGACAGCGCAGCGGGATAGCCATACTGCCGTCTGACCAATGGCAAAAGAACAGCGTCTACCAGCGGTCGCAAGGGAGACGAAGTGTCCGAGCGCAATTCCGCGGCAGTTTGCTGCACGGTAAAGCTTGGAAGACCATCAACCGCATCAGGTTCCCTGCCCCTTCCAGTGCGAATCGCCTCACTCAGAACTTGGCTGCAAGTTGATAGCAGTTGCGCAACCTCGTTGTCTGTAAGAAGGCCCTTAACGACGGAGAAGTTGGCTTCCGGCCCAGGAAGGTACGGTTTTGGCACAGCTCCGCAGTGCTCCAGTGCGCCATATCGAGAACCCGCCGAAACACTCTGTGGCGGCTGCTCGAAGATGTAGGGTCGCACCTGAGAGAGCAGCAAGCGGTGGCAGGATTCCCAAGGTGAGCCTCAAGGCCGAGGAATGGACTGGCACAGCTGCAATCAGCTGGTCAATGCAAGGCCATGCCCCTGCCTGGCTTCCCTGGTCCTCCAAATGATAAGGCTCAAAGCACTTGGCAGAAAGATCTACCGTGCCTTGCCCTCTTCAGACTTGTATCCGAAGGTTTTACCTCAGCTTGGAATGCATAGTGCCGGAAAAGTGAAATCTTTCATGAACAACAGGTTTGGTGCCTTCACCAGATGCACCCGTGCTGGCCGTCATGCTCCAATCCTCAAACGAAAGAACTTGTCATTCACCAGGTCACCAGCATTTCCAGGAACAAATCAATTGGTCGGTCGCTCAGTCTGTCACTCAGAAAGGCAGAGTGGACGGGTAACAAACAGCACATGTGGCGAAGGTGAGCCCAGCAGATCCACACCCAGGTAGGAGAAGAATACGAGCCACAGGAGGACTAACGTGATCTGAACATGCCCCTTTGTATTCAGGCTCAGTCGTGGGACCGCCCATTTTACTAGGTAAAACAATGGAACCCGGCTCTGTAAATTGGGGTACCCAGGGCTTAATATACAAAAACAAATCTCTGTAAAATGAGGGCTGCAGGGGCATTTTTAGAAGAACCTTTGGGGGTTGAGTCCTTGCTTGGTATTCGTGGTGACCCCTGGGCACCCCCATTTTACAGACAAAAGGCATTGTAAAATGAGGGTACCCAAGGTTTGAAGGACTTTGGGGGAACCACAGCTGCGTGGGCACTGCACTGCAAACACATCCAACTACATACTGTTGATACTAAACATCCTGCATTGGCTTGCACACACCACGGCGGTAGGTCCTTGTAAACAATCAGTTCAGTCAACACTGACCAGGAGCTCTTGCGCGAACCAGATTTGTTGTGCATATAAGGCATGCAGCCAAAGTGTACTTTTTCTGAACAAAACGTACAAGTCGGCCCCCTAAGGCATGCGGCTGGGTTGTATTTTTCTCAGAAGACGTACAATTCGGCCTGTAAAAAAGCCCGGTCCCGAGGTACTGACCCTGCTCAGGGGAGCGGCAAAGCCCTTATCCCTGGCATTTTTATTTAAGTCAAGGCTAGATGGGGGCTATAAGGGTCAGGGTTAGGGCCGGCACCGGGGTGCCATAAGGCCACCCTTAATCCTAAAAGGTCTGGAATCAAGGGATTCGGGCCTTTGGGGTGGGGATGAAGGAAGGTTGCTCGAGTGGGTGGGAAGTTTGGGATATGGAGGTTTCCCAAAATTAGGGGTGCCATTTTGGGGACCCCTAATAATCATAAGGACCACGCAGGACAGGACCATTCTTGAATAAAATGCTTGAAGCATCATGGCTTCACATCTTCCTGTTGTGGGAATTGGAATTGAAAGTGTGTCCATCGCCACAGCGCAAGTGCGGTGGCGTTAGCGTGGGCGGAGGTTGGGATGTGAGCGGCCGTGAAACTTTATTACGTACATTCTTCTAGGCTCGCAGGCTTGTTGCGAAGAAATTAAAATGCATACGGCTGCCAGCTGCTAGCATCAGCCCGTATCGACAGCTGCCACAATCACAATGGAAAAACAGTTCCACTTTTCCTGCACTGCGCAAGACCATTTAACGTGAGAGGACACGCTTCCTACTCTCACAGAATGCCCGCATTCCCCTTCCTATGCCGTCTCAAGCCCCCACGTCAGCAGACACACCCAAGGGCGGCTCAGCCCCCACTGCCGGCTAACCAGGAATGAGCTGAGGACTTGGAAAATGACAGCTACCCGGCCTCGCTGTTTTTGTTCTTCTGGAAGAATCGTGGCCCCCGCACTGTCCAAGGCACAAGTCAGTGCCCATGAGGCTCGGTGGCACCACGAGGCTCAGAATGCCAGACATTAAGGGTACTCAAGTAAGCCGTCTGACAACACAATTCTGCCATTCAAGCTCCCAATAACTCTCCTCCCAACTCCAATGGGCTGCGCAACCTACTCTTCAATTCAGAGTGGCGGCCAAGAACACTCGACAGCCAGTGGTCAAACAGGCTCTGCCCTACTAAAAGATTGACCATGCAGTCGCTCCCCTTCCCTTTTCGATTGGGGAATCTTTGCCCTGCAAAAGGGGACTCAACATTTGGAATCTCACGCTCTTTGACATGAACACTCGCTAAACACTCAGGAATGTCAACATGTCCATACAACCTGGGCAAAACACTTCCTAGATTCGCCAACGAGTTACCTACAGTTTCTTCTCCCAGCTCCCACTGTACGCATTGTACACTGCACTGTCCTGAGATCCTTGGGGATCACTGTGGAACGACATCATCATGATGGCGGCCCCCTCTGCCCCTGAGAGAGGTACAACTCAAGATCGCTCTTTTTACGATGTCTTTTGTCTTTGTTTTGCCGTCCCGTGGCCTGCGTCACTACATGACTCTTCAAGGCTTCTGTGCTTAGTTTGTTGGGGCTCAGGCTCATGTCTGCGCAAAGATCAATAGATCAACGATAAGTGGCACCTGATTACGGCTTGTTGTCCTTCCCCTTGCCCTACGATAGGCAGCGAAACCTCCCAATCAGCAGCGCTAGTAGTTTGATCTCACTTCCCCAACTTTTCTCCGGCGATTTCTATTGTTGGGATTCCCTGTCAGCCTGTTCGCCTGTGATTCATCTTCTCATCCCTGGTTTTCTTCCTGGGCTTTCCACACCTGCGTTGTACATTGCCCTTCCATTGCTTCCAACCGCTTGAAGGTTTCCGCCATATTCTGTTCTTGATGGAATCGTGTGTCCTCCTGCGCGGTGATCATATCGCCGAGCTTCCTGATGGCCTCTCCAACGTCCTTCTGTCAGGAGTCTGAAGTTTGTATCATCTCCAGTGCGGTGTTTGCTTTCTGCGCCACTTGGGACTCCACTGTACTCAGTCTCCGCTCCACGCCTTTAAGCCCCGTAAGCATGGGCCAGCGCCCTGGAGCGAGAGTCCTGACTCCGCCGTGGGCTTGCTCAAAGCGCTCCCTTGCACAGAATTATCCTCGAAACTGCCCCATGACAGCGCTTGTCAGAGGCATCCTCGAGGTCCACATCAATCGGTCTGTCTTCGGCCGCTTTCACGCTACGCGTTCCCGACATAGACCTCCAATTCCATTTGAACTTTCAAGTGATCCCAGGACTCAACTACTCCAAGTTCAGCGGCTCTCAGCTTTGAGTAGCGCGAATTTGAAAACAGCCAAGAGGTTTCCTATGGCAGAACATCCTATTTTCACTGAAACCCCCAGCTGACCGTGCGCCCGAACTGAGAAATGTCTGCAGGACTCCCAAGCTTATGCTCACCAACGTGGAAATGCCAGAGAGGCTGAGAAGCAGCAAACGCCCCCAATACGTTCAGTTCTCCTGCTTAAAGGGTCGGGCTCCTTCTGGCTTGCAAACAGTGACAGCAGACGGCCTCAAGCCCGCGCTCGTAGGTAGGCGGAGACTTGAACCAAAACGCCTCTCCTTCTAGGGACGCAATGTCCGGTCAGCGACAGTTCCCAGGGAGGCTCGCAACAATGCACACAACAGTTGTTGGATCACCTATTTCAAGTCCGAAATTTATAGACTGCGTACATATTCCCCTGACGGCGTTCTTTGAGTGTGCTCCCTTCTTCACCTGTTTGCGGCGGTGATTGCCAGTGATTGCACCTTCCGGACCCATCTACAATCTCAAATCGAAAGCACAAGCACCCTTACCTGCCAGTTTCCCGGAGTGGGCGTGCTCAAAAGATCTGCTTAGTGGCTGTTTGCGCGCCACTGCTCTGTCCCTTATAGCCAAAACTTCTTCTTCTTCTACAGACCGCGAGCCAACGGAAGAGCTCGTCAGGGCTACACTCCGTGGCTGCGCAGGCAGCTGCCTCCCTTCTTCTTTTCTTCTCACAGCCCTGGCGCTCACAGGAGGCCGCACAGTTTTGCAAATAACCCTTGTAGAAAGACAGTTGCATGAGAGTAGAGGCTTGAGGCCACATCACCGCAAACCTTCTTAGCTCAGATTGTAAAGCCTTCTTCGCAACGACCCAGAACTACCTGCCGAGCAGCCGAGACAATGGCACATCAGGAGACCTCTTCCCCAATGGGGCACAGAGCCAGACGCAGTCCACCTAGCAACTGAGCTCCACGACGACGACCTCCAGAAAGTGAAATGAGAAAAAGTCTGAGAAAGCCAGCAGCCCAAAACTCCCGCTAATCAAAGGCACGATGCGTTGAGATGAACTTTTTTACAACACCTGAAAGCACTTTTGCAGGCCAGGCGACTTGCGTGGCCTCATTAAACGCCCGACGCACCTGATAGCACTTGCGCAGGCCTGGCGGCCTCCATGGCCCTTTTCTTTAATGCTCTACTGCTTTACAAGCCCAATAGCACTTTTGTGCGTCAGGCGACCTGCTTGGCGAAATTAATTGCAGCTCACGGTAGCCGGGGATTAGACATGAAACACTTTACAAGCTGCCTGCGCACTTCTACCCCAAAGTTGTTCCGAACCTTCTAAGTTGCTTCATGTGCAAGTCATGTACACTCGTGAGGCAGCAGAACACTCATCAACCATCATTTCCTTCCATGCCTTCCATCACTCAGTCTCGCAGGGCTGCTCAATAGGCAGACCGAGGTGCGAAAAGTAGCTTGTCCTCCACCCATTTTCCCAGAGGCAAGCCTCCGAAACCGGTGAATGTTTGCTTTGATTATGCTCCTGTTTGCCTTGTTCTACGTTGCTGTTCGAGCTGACTGTCGTATAAGAGAAGGAGTTGGCGCTGGTCACCAAAACTAATCTTCGCTACTTTAAGGGTTGTTGCGCTGCTTCGATCTTAAACCTTTTCGAATCCACGCGCGCGGAACCAACAACAACCCAGTCTCACGACAAATTTCTGCGCGGAACGGATGAGGGGGGCCTTAAGGCCGGCGCAACCCCACCATCCCCCTGCAGCAAAACAAAGCAAGGACAGGAAGCGCTGCAACCGGAAGAAAGCAACAAAGCAAGGAAAGCAGAACAGAAGGCGGAAGAACAAAATGACCAGGGGGCGCGCCGCTGCACGGTGGCGCCGGCAGGGCGAAGGTAGCAATCCACGCCCTCGGCCCTCGACCCAGCAAGGGAGAGATTAACCGTTAAGATGCACAGGCGTAGGTTGCCTTTACGTTGGCTTTCTCTTTCTACTCGCACAGCTGGGACGGTAGATGCGCAGAGGAGACGCGCGAACTCCGTTGCAGGCGCGGGGCAACAAGAGAAGCAGCCAAGGGCGCCTCCCGAAAAAAGAAAGTCAAAAGTCGTCTTGGCC